GCTGCCAGCACAGTGGGGATGTGAGGACATCTCTACAGGGAAAAAAAAGGAAAAGCTACTTAATAACCTGACAAATAAGTCAAGTTATTGTTTCCAAGAAACCCTTTACTTACAGTCTCACCATTGGATGATCCTGGTGTAATCAGAAATTAAAACATTTTGGTTAGATATGATTAAGAAGAGTACACAGGAAAATAATTTTAATAGGGAATCAAGACACCATTTTTTCTAATTATTGCATTTGAAACACTTCATTTCTTCCGAGACAAGATGTTCTCCATTTTTCTTAACTCTAACAAATGACTGCAAAAGATATACATGATGAAGCATAATGGTCTTTCCATCTACTTACTACTTACTTCCCTAGGGACAAAGAACAACTGCAATATTAGCTGCAAATATCACAGCAAAAAGAATCACATCACCTTTGCAAAGGCCATTCCAGCCAACACTATAATATGCAGTTTTTACAGTTTTTCTTTTTTACATTTTATGTTCTGCAAACACCAGGCCAGAAAAACTTAAAGCAATAGATATTCCTGGAAGACAGTCAGAAAGCAGTGCTTATGTAGTAGAAACATGCTTGTTTGCTCTTCAGTTCACTTTTTCAGGCTTATTTCGCATGGATTTCCCCCCTTTTCCATTTGAATTCCTCTTAGCAATTTTTCATTTAGTCTCAAAAAATACTCCTCAGGAGTATCCACTGCCTAAAGCAGAAAAAACACTGATCCAAACTAAGAGAGTTTTTAAGTTGATTCAATTAAACTGAAGCTATACACTTATGCTTTTTAATAGATACATTAAAAAACCCCAACAACAATGAAGGCATTTAATTTAAATTACTTTTTAATTCAAAAAGGATAAAACAAAGAGGGCATTCAGAGGAATTACATGGTTTCTAAGACTCTGAGCATGATTTTTCATTTCAAGGAATGTTCTTTAGCGGCTGCGTGATCAAGGCCCAAATTAAGTGACAGCCTTCAACACATGTCATTAATATCAATTCCTTACCTCTCTTCTCCCTTCCCCATCTCCCCAAAACAACACACCTGACACTGCTCCATGCATTTCCCAGTTCTGCCGTGTACTGCTTGTCAAAGTGATCCAGAATAACTCGACAAATCTGCTTTTGAAGTTTCCCTTTTGTTTTACTTTCCAGCTTTGGAGAAAGGAAGGAAAAAAAAAAAGAAAAGTAGTAAAAACAAACAAATGAAACCCTCCTTAGTTCTTCAACCTGGTTAAGGACATTCAAATATCAAGATCACAGGAGATGTGATCAAGATGTAAGAGAAATTTCAGAGAGTGAACAAGTTAAGCTTGGAGTACACTCTTCTTCCCTGACTGTGAAGAAGTCAATCAAAGCTTGTTGCTATCCCTCCATATCCACGAATAATACTAATAATACAGTGGTTTCTGGGACTCTGATCTACCAGGTGCAAAATAAGCAAGGTATGATTATGATCAGTATGATCAGCTCTGCCAAGGTGCTAAACTAAAAGAATGGAATTAATTTGAATCGTTGCGGGAGACAAGCTGAGTTAACCCGCAAAGCACTGCACTTTCTGGGTTTTAACCTCCTAAATTTTGTATGTAAGGCGGGGGGGGAGAACTTTCGGTTTCTAAGTAAACTTGTGCTATCTATAAGGAAAACCCCAAAGGCAAACACCTAAATTTTGCTGGATTTTTTTTTTTTTCCCTTAACGGCACCCAGCAGCTTCCTGCCGATCCCGTCGGAACAGGAACAGCTGACGGAAGGTAGAACCCGAAGAACTAAGTTCGGAGCTACTCCTCTTGTCTCCCAGTTCCTTCACCCGACACCGAGCGCATTCCGAGGCCGGGGATTCCCTCCCTCCCTCCCTCCATGACGCTGAGCCGTGAAAGATCATCCCGGGGGGAAACTGCCCGGGCTCGGCACAGACAGCAAGGCTGGGCACCAGCAGCTTTCCGTACAAGGCACGAAAACCCAGGATGCACCCGCTGGTTCGGAGGAGGAATCGCAAACGGGGCTGTTGCCGCTGTCCCCGCCGCGCAGGAAGAGGCCGAGCGCCGCTCCCGCCGCACTTCCGCCTGCCGGGCCCCGGCGCGCTCGGGGTCACTGCTCCCCTGCCCTGGCCCTGT